CCAACTGCAGTGTCTCAGTTTCCCGCCGACTGAACTCTTATCAGATCGGGGAGGGCGGGCCGTGTCTGTGGGAATGGTCCCTGGGCTGCAAACGGGCTCCGGGAGTTCTGTCGCCCGTCCTCCGAGACCGGTTCTGCTTCTCTGCCGGCTGCTTGCCCGTGCAGGAAAGTGAGTTGCGTAAAAGGCTTCGCGTGGGAAGGGAAGGGAAGGGAGTAAACAAGGAGGAGAAAGAACCCCTCCCAACCAGACAAACAAGCTCGCACCTCACCTGCCCTGCATTTTATAACCGGCTTGTTATTTTTCAGGTGAAGCATTATTCCTGGAAATACTGGAGTAAGGTGCAGAGTGCATGTTTTGTACACACTGTGGCCTGGGGTTGGATCCCTAGTTAAGGGCTAGCCAATAGCAGGGCTGTGGCACACCTTTCCTTATCTTGGGGCCCTGGAGAGAGTTGTTTTCCCACGTGGAGAGAGAAATCACATTTTACTTACAGCATCTCCGAGTTTCGTTTTTCGGCTTTTCCAGGATCGCTTCGGGGTGACGCCCTATTCCAATGATTAATTTTTAAAAAAACAAAAATTACAATCGGTTTAAAAGTAAGCCATGCGATCATAAAGCATGTAGTAGACATGAAACAGGAAGATGTAGTGGATGATGCAGGAGAGTTCTAAAGCTCTGCAGTCAAGAAAGCCTGGCTTCATAACCTCACAGTTCGACAGTCAAATGTAAATGAAGACCTTTGCTGCTGATCTTGAGGGGTGGTGTGCGCACGAGAGAAGTCTCCGGAAATACTACTAGTCCAGAACCAACTGCCAGGGCCTGCCAGTGGTCTTCAAGTGTTGGATTAGTCCAGAACCAACTGCCAGGGCCTGCCTGTACAGTGGTCTTCAAGTGTTGGTTCTAGTTTTAGAGTATTGGGGAGGAGCAGCCAGTGAAGCGAATGGGCAGTAGGTTCAGGATGGACAAAAGGAAATAGTACTTGACACAGAGAATGATTAAAACGGGGAATTCGCTGCCAGGGGATGTAGCGATAGCCACAGGAATAAACAGCATTAAAAAGGGATTAGGTAGATTCATGGAGGAGACGTCTGCAAGTGGCTGCTAGTCATGGTGACTGAGGGGAACCTCCACATTCAGAGGCACTAAGCCTCTGAACCCCAGAGCCAGGAGGCAACATCAGGGGAAGGTCTCAGCCTCTGTGCTCTGTTGTTGCCCGTCCAGAGGAACTGGTTGGCCACTGTGTGAGACAGGAGGCTGGACTAGATGGACCCCTGATCTGATCCAGAAGGGCTCTTCCAATGTTCCTATCAGGGAAGGCCTTGCCCTCTATGCCCTGTTGTTGGCCCTCCAGAGGAACTGGTTGGCCACTGTGTGAGACTGGAGGCTGGACTAGATGGACCTCTGGTCTGATCCAGCAAGGCTCTTCGTATGTTACTATCAGGGAAGGCCTCGGCCTCTGTGCTCTGTTGTTGGCCCTCCAGAGGAACTGGTTGGCCACTGTGTGAGACAGGAGGCTGGACTAGATGGACCCCTGGTCTGATCCAGCAGGGCTCTTCCTATGTTCTTATCAGGGAAGGCCTCGGCCTCTCTGCCCTGTTGTTGGCCCTCTAGAGGGACTGGCTGGCCCCTGTGTGAGACAGGAGGCTGGACTAGATGAACCCTCAGTGGTCTGATCCAGCAGGGCTCTTCCTATGTTCTTATCAGGGGAAGGCCTCGGCCTCTCTGCCCTGTTGTTGGCCCTCCAGAGGAACTGGTTGGCCACTGTGTGAGACAGGAGGCTGGACTAGATGGACCCCTGGTCTGATCCAGCAGGGCTCTTCCTATGTTCCTATCAGGGAAGGCCTTGGCCTCTATGCCCTGTTG